GAGCTCCGTTTTTGGCTGGGACATCCTCCTGCAGCCCTCTGCCAGCGAAAACGGGCTCCCGAGCTCCGTTTTTGGCTGGGACATCCTCCTGCAGCCCTCTGTCAGCGAAAACGGAGCCCCCGGGACATAACTAACTGAATGATTGCCCCCAGCGCTTTGCTGGGAAAATAACCAAAGGCCAATCCAAACAGAATACCTCAAGGATTAATTTTCTCCAGGCTGTATTTCTTCATATCCCTGGTTATCACTTGTCAATCTCGGAAGGTTTTCTAGGATTTTCATTCAATTAAAAGAAATGATCTAACACACGCCTCTTGAAATAAAGCAGCATATTTTATGTTAAACTGCAAGTGGTTTCAGACAGCCCTACTTGGAATGTAATATAGTTTTAAGTTACTTTGGGTCTGCCTGGGACCAAGTATCTCGGAACTAAGGGATTTTTTTTTAAAAAAGGTTAAATTACACCCAGATCATTGCAGAAACAGGTAAATTTTCATTATGGCACAAGAAATATCTTTTGATAGGGCTGGCAATGTCTTCAGAACCCACAAGGAAAAGTCCACTACATCTTATTTAAAGGCCAGTGGTCCTCTTGGAAAGAGAACCAGAGGGCCCCTCCTGAAAGGAGGGCAAACTCAAAAGAGAGAATCTGAGCTACCCCACTTCCATATTTTAGCAAAAGCATTGCAATTACTTTTGTCAAGTCTTTGGATATCTGGGAAAGATCTGGATTTTTGATGCCGTGCATGAGGCTCATGTGACTCTCCAGCATCGATGGCTGAGGAAATGTCTGGATTTCGTCTGTGCAATACCTGCAAAATGCACAACAAAAGATAATGCCATCAATACAACTGGATTTCTCCGTCTCACCCTCTGCTACCACATTTTATTTTCACTCTGCAGCCCACTCACCCCAATTTTCACAGAAGCCCAGAGTTGGAAGGAACCTGGGGACCGTTTTAAGATTTGGTGGATTTCCCTTCCCAGTGTCAACTCATAAATCTTTTGGATTCTTTTGAAGCTTGGCTTGAGGCTCATGATTTAATGAGGGTAGTCGGAATCCTGACACCCAGCACACATCTTAAAGTTGCTGAGATTGAGACAACACAGAACAGGGACTGGATCGTCTTCTTTCAGGCTCTCTTCATAAGACTCAGCAGAAGGAATGACTCAAAATTGATTCCCAAATGCTGGAAACGGAAACAGCAGCATCCTTAATTTTGGAAAAGCAGTGTGAAATGCAAGATTGCAGGGTTATTATTATCATTATTATTATTTTTAGGGTGAGACATGCTTGCCTCAATCCTAGATCAGGAACGTGCATTGACACAAGTTTGCTGCAAATAAACAAATCTTAAGATTGAGTCAATATGTGGACCGTGACTTCACATCTGTTCTGAATCTTCTGAATACATCCTTGAAGGACAGCCGTGCAACTTTCTCAACAGATGTGAAAACGGTAAGCTAAGTTTCGTTTGGGAGAAAGTCTCTTGAGCACAAATGTTGCGATTTCACAGCAAAAACTCCCAGGAACAAGACTTACTTTTCTAAGACCCTACATACAGAGACAAAGATTCTACCGCTAGTAGCTTGGAAACTAGTGCTGAATTCCAGGGGTAAATGACCTTGGATCACAGCTTTCAGAGCTGATAAGAACAGCTCCTTTTTCAGAGGGAAATCAAAAGTTTGCAATGGGAGGGTTAATGTTTTGTCTGGGGTCTTGGTGGGAACCACAGTTTTACCTTTGTTAACATCATGTGTCAGGAATCCAGGAGGCCACCGAGGGGAGGCCTTTAAAAATCCCAAAATTAGATATGAACTGAGACGTGCTCTGTTCACATGCACCAGATAAAGCAACACTTCGAGTTCCCCATCTGTAGTTCAATTAAAATAACAACTTTTTTTCTTCTCCTCCTTAAAATGCTTTCCACAGGAAGAATAGCAGGGACGGACTCTAATCTGAGATAGCTTCCACAGACATAACTGGGCACTGTTTTCTAGGTTAGTCAGTTGTCAGTGAAGGAGGTTTTAAAATTTAAATGATGTCTTGGTATAGATTTAAACTCCACAAAGAATCCCCATTAGCCAGACTGAGTAACATGAATGAAATGTCACTAGGAGTTAGAAAAGGAAATGTACAGAAGGGCAAAGAAACAGGTGTTGGCAGTGGAACAGCCTTTCTTAAACTGGAATCTTCTCTAGCCAAGATAGGTTTTTCTCAGGCTGGCTTCAGATAGGCTCACTTCTCGTTTGAAAGGGTAATTAAGAGACCACTAAAACTACAAAATGGGATCAGTGATGGAAAGCAGCTTTTGGTATTTAGGAATAATTGCCAGAAAACACCCTCCATTAGTTTTTTTTGTTGAGTAATTAAGATGTACCAAAAATACCTAGTTTTAATGAAATATTAAAAACAAACCACTAATTGAAGTGCCACCTGCTTCCTGGAAATTTGCTTTCTTGGTGATTAATTTGAATGGAAAGATGCAGGCCTTGTGTTCTTATTTTATTTTATTCTGAAGCCGTAAGTGCTTAAATCTGAAAACTGCAAATGTTTCACTTGCAATAGGTTCTGAGATTAATAGCAATAGCAATCAGACTTATATACCGCTTCACAGTGCCTTTTCAGCCCTCTCTAAGGGGTTTATAGAGTCAACCTCTTGCCCCCAACAATCGGGGTCCTCATTTTACCAACTTTGGAAAGATGGAAGGTTGAGTCCACCTTGAGCCGGTCAGGACTGAACTCCTGGCAGTGGGCAGAGTTAGCCTGCAATACTGGATTCTAACCACTGCGCCACCAGGGCTCATTAAATGAAGCAGAAAGAGCTGCAGCTCCTGCCTCCTCTCATTGAAACAGGGCGAGCGCACACGGAACTCCTCATAGTTCCTCCAGAGGTAGCTAGAATGCTTTCATTATTGGGAAACCACAGGTTCTCCCGGAAACTAAAACGATCCAAGGTAAATAGCAGGTGATCCCTCCGTTGAATTAGGCAGGACCCTGTGACGTGTGCAAAGAACATCATTCCTTCCCTCTCGGACTCACCAGCAAGGGTAAAGTTTCTTTGCTGTGTCGTGATTATTGCGAACGTGTCTGTGCAGACTGTTGGAGGCACCGAAGGACCTCTCGCACTGCCGGCAGGGAAACCTCTTCATGTTCTGCAAGAGGATTGGAAGGGTTAGTTTAGAAGTAGAATAACAGAGCTGGAAGGGACCTTGGAGGTCTTCTAGTCCAACCCCCTGCTCTGGCAGTAAGCCCTACACCACTTCAGACAAATAAATGGTTATCCAATCTCTTCTTAAAAACTTCCAGTGTTGGAGCATTTGCAACTTCTGGAGGCAAGTTGTTCCACTGATTAACTGTTCTAACTGTCAGGAAATTTCTGCTCAGTTCTAAGTTGCTTCTCTCCTTGATTAACTTCCATCCACTGCTTCTTGTCCTGCCTTCAGGTGCTTTGGAAAATAGGTTGACCCTCCTCATCTTTGTAGGAGTCCCTCAAATACTGGAAGACTGCTACTGTCAGCCTTCAAGATCTTCTACTGTTGCTTTGCATCTTTCGGCTGCCATAAGTAACGGGGGGAGGAGGGGGGATTGTCTGGGAAGAGAGCTGGAGGTGTTACATTCTTGTGTGGTGTAAATGAGGAGTGGGGGGGGGGGAGTATAAATTCCTGCTTTTAGGTTTCTATTTCTCGCTTAGCTTTCTTTCGCAGCTGCAAACCTTTATCAAAATATGCCAAGGTCAACGGACAGAGGCCTCATCACCACCTGAAGATGTCCACATGATCATATTCAGAACTTTTAATTGGAAGAATCTTTTGAACTATGGGGGGTGGGAACAATTCCATCACTTTGTCTATGTGAATTGCATGCCTAATTTCTCAGATTCAGAACCCTACTTGATGCTACCACTTCTTTTTTCATTAAAAGAATTCTTTTCTCTAATCTATGGAGTCTAAGTATTTCTTTCTTGGATTTTGAATGGAGCACAGACTGACAGCTATCCTGTCACCCCTAGTCCTTCTTTTCATTAAACTAGACATACCCAATTCCAGCAACTGTTCTTTATGTGCTTTAGCCCCCAGTCCCCTAATCATCTTACTGAGGCATTATGAAGTGGTATTAATACTTTACCTGATCCTGATTCTATCCCTCGGTTTATGCAGCGGGATAGAAGTTTCTTCAGCTCTGACTGGACGGTGGGGAAAGGATCTTAATTCCTTGCAGACAGCTGGTCATTTGCATTCTTTCAGGGAGTCCTTGAGGCCACTTGGAGGTTTGTCACCCTGAGGAAATGCTTCCTTTCTTCCACCATCCAAGTCAGAGCTGAAGAAGCTTCTTGGATGAGAAGCGAAACGTCTTTCGAAGAAAAACAAGGAAGAAGGTCCAGTTGCCTCTTGGGGAAGGAAAAAAGGCAGCTTAAAGACAACCATGAAGCTGGAGGACTGAGAACCTCCGAAGACATTCAGCATGAGTACCGAAAATAAAAACAAGACTTAACACTGTGTTCTGTTATGCCAGACGAAATAAAATAAAATAACCAGGAGGAAGGGGAAGAATACACAAGCAGGCATCTTCTCCTCCTTCCCGTTTCCGCGGCTTTGCTAGGAAGTGAAAAGACGCAACCGTATTAAAGCGATGGGGGAAAAAGCCCAGAGGCTCCTACGCTTCAGGCCAAGTCGGTTACCTTCCCGTGGCTTTTCCTCATGTGGGACACGTAAGTTTCACGATCGGGGATCCACTGCGAGCACACCCGACACGTCCAACTGCCCGCTTTGGACTTGGGCTTGGATTCCGGGCTTACGCCTTTCGCGGGCCAAGAGGTCGGCTGAGAAGTACCGTTGACGATGGACAGTTCCTTGGACGTGGGAAGGACGGGGCTGCCGGTGGCGGCTGTCTCGACCTTCTGCCGAGCGCTGGTGAAATCTTCGGGATTTTCCGGGACTCCGTGGATGCTCTGGTGGAAAGTCAAGGGATCGAGATCAGCCGGCAAGCACGATCCATGCGGAAAGGCCAGAGCGTGGGACGACTCAGACGGCAACGAACTGCTGAGGATGCCAGTAGCTTCTCTTATTTCTAGATCTACGATTTAGGCCAGGAGTCACCAACGTTTTGGGCCTCAGGGACCACCAAGCTCATCATTTTAAACCCCGCGGACCGCTCATATGAACTTTTGACTGATGGTGGCTTGTTGACGTTGGTTGGAAAGTTGGTCCCATATTCCAGAGCTGCAAGAGTCACAGGACTGGCACTTTGGTCATCCTGGAGCAGCTGTTTCACCCGGGTGTAACGGCCTGCCATGGATGGGAGGAGCTGCTCCGGGATGACCAAAGGGCCAGTCCTGTGACTACTGCAGCTCTGGAATATGGGACCGACTTCTCCACCGACGTCAGCAAGCCACCCTGGGGCAGATTTCCCTCCCCTGCTGTTGGTCTTACCTTCCAGTTCCAGATCGTGTGGCTCTACTCAAGGTAAGGTTTGTACTCGGCTGAAGGGTGGGGGCCAGCAGGTGGGTGGAGGGCCATGTGGGCGGTACAGCCTTGTGTTCCTGCGCACGCAGCCTGGATTAATTGCTTTGGGGGGGGGGGACATTTCTCTGCAGACCACCCAAATTTTCTTGTGGACCACCAGAGGTCCCCAGCCCACCAGTTGGCGACCACTGATCAAGACCAGGTTGCCAACTAGAGCTGGGTGTCATGATCGTATTATGCATATATTGTGCCAGGTGTCCTGATTTCCGGGTCATTTCTGGACCCAGATCAAAATTGTGGATGTTTTTTTTTTAAACCAGAAGTCTTCCGAACTTGGCAACTTTTAAGTTCCGTGTGGCCTTCAACTCTGCTGGCTGAGGAATTCTGGGAGTTGAAGTGCACGTCTTAAAGTTGCCAAGTTTGGAGATCTTGGATTTAAAAGGTCATCCAGAACTTTGAACTGGGTCCATCAGGGCCCTGGAAATCAGGACAGTTGGCACAATATATGCCTAATACGACCATAACACCCAGCTTGCACTGGTAACCACCCTGTTCAAGACCCATCACGGATGCAGAGAACTGGAGGGCATTTGGGGGTGTGACGTTACATCAGGGGAGGTGTATAAATTGCAGGTTGCTGACACAGAGATGCTAAATAAATAAACAGCAATAGCCTTTAGACTTATATACCGCTTCACAGTGCTTCATAGCCCTCTCTAAGCAGTTTACAGAATCCGTGTATTTGCCCCTAACAATTTGGGTTCTCATTTTGTCGATCTCGGGAAGGAGGCAAGGCCGAGTCAACCTTGGGCCTGGTAAGACTCAAACTGCCAAACTGCAGTCAGCTGGCAGTCAGCAGAAGTGGCCTGCAGTACTGCACACTCACCACTGCACCACCACCGCCCTTAATAAATAATTAAGGTAAGTTTAGGAGGCTGTCCTGGTTATGCTAAATTGTAATGCATCTGGTCTGGACTAGCAGCAGAGGGTGTATTCAGCCAGTTCTGACTGGTTCTGGAGAACCGGTAGTGGAAAATTTGGGTAGTTCGGAGAACTGGTAAATACCACCTCTGACTGGTCCCACCCCCATCTATTCTCTGCCTCCCATTGAGTCCCAGCAGGTCGTCTGGGTCTTCTTTGGTTGCCCTGCACAGGAGAAACAGAGCTGGAAAGCAGGTCAGTGGGGTGGGGAGGGAATGGAGTTTTTTACAGTATCCTTTCCCTGTCACTCCCACCAAGCCACACCCCGCCCACCGATAAAATAATTTGAATCCCACCAATGACTAGTAGGGTGTGCCAACCCAACCACTGTGCTCTGCAACTTATAAGCTTGTTCTTTGAATCCAGTCAATGGTGGCTTACGTTTAAATTACAGTTAAGCAACCTAAATCTTAAAGAGACAAATATGAGGAGAGGCTGCCAATGAAGAAAATGTTCGTCAGATGTGGGGAAATAAAAAGGCAGCTTCGAAGAGTTTCAAGGGAGGACCCCGAAAGGTGGGAGCGGCCCTTGAGCTACCAACCTTGACGTGCTGCATTAACTGCAGCTTCTGCATATACACCAGTTGGCAGTGGGGGCACTTGAACACGCCCACCATCATTCGGTTGGCGTTTTGCTGGAAGTGCTCTTGCAGAAGTCTCTTCTTGTTGAAGACTGTCTCACAGGAACATTTGTAGATCACCCTGGGGCAGTAGTGGAGAAATGAGAACTTTCATGAATGAACAAATCATCATCAACATAATTTTTTTTAAAAAAGAAAGTTTAAACTGTATTTGGCACTTTGATCTATCTGCTGAGTCCTTCCTGGGTTAGGCAGATGTGGTTGCGTATCGATGGGAGCAAAAGAAAGGAAAGACAGCACCAACGGGCATACTGGGTGCAATTTTAAAACCTCTGGAGTCCCAACGGAACACCACAGGCGTTGACAACTTCACCACCAGTCAATTGCAAAAGGCAGCTTCACTCGGAACAGTTTACACCCCGAGAGGATACCTTTAACACCATGCAACAACATCTGCCTCTCCCGTATCCTTGGGAAGGACTCAGGAGGTGCCAAATCTGGTCTAAACGTCCGGCTGACTGTGCGACAAACAATAATAATAGTAATTTATGTTAAACGGAGAGCAAAGGCACTTTGGATGCAATCCCAAAACACCTGAAGCACCCAGATGTTTATGTATTGACCCGAACAATCTGGCTCCTCATTTTACCGATCTTGGAAGGATGGAAGGCTGAGTCGAACTTCTGGCAGCGGGCAGAGTTAATCTGTAATACTGCATTCTAACCACTGGGAAAGAAGGAAGGAAGGAAGGAAGGAAGGAAGGAAGGAAGGAAGGAAGGAAGGAAGGAAGGAAGGAAGGAAGGGTCAACCTTGAGCCGGCTAGGATTGAACTCCTGGCAGTGGGCAGAGATAATCTGTAATACTGCATTCTAACCACTAGGAAGGAAGGAAGGGAGGGAGTGGGGGGAGGGAAGGAAGGAAGGAAGGGTCAACCTTGAGCCGACCAGGATTGAACTCCTGGCAGTGGCAGAGTTAATCTGTAATACTGCATTCTAACCACTGGGAAGGAAGGGAGGGAGGGGGGAGGGAGGGAAGGAAGGAAGGAAGGGTCAACCTTGAGCCGGCCAGGATTGAACTTCTGGCAGTGGGCAGAGTTAATCTGTAATACTGCATTCTAACCACTGGGAAGGAGGGAAGGAGGGAGGGAGGAGTCAACCTTGAGCCAGTCAGAATCGAACTCCTGGCAGTGGGCAGAGTTTGTCTGTAATATTGCATTCTAACCATTGCGCCACCATGGCTCAAATGAAGGAGACGGAAGAAACTCCAGAACTGTGTAATGGTGTAAAAAGAAGGCCCCACGGACCTGAGCAGACCACTTACTGAGATGTCTTGTGAGGCTCTGCAGGGTGCTGGCTGTTAATGTGAGCGGTGGTGCTGTCTGCAGACTTGAAGGCCATGGGGCAGAACGAACACTTGTGGAAGACTTCGCAGTGCTTCTCGTGAATGTGGACTTTCAGCATAGCCTGGGACATGAAAACCACCCCGCAGTGGCTGCATCTGGGGAGAAGGAGAGGAGGACACACTCAGCTTGGAGGCACAACATCTGCCAGCATCGTTTCTAGAGACATTCAGGGAACAGAAAGAGGCCCACGTTTCCTTTACAGGATCACCCTGGAAGAACCCGTGAATGTCCAGAGGTTGTAGGATAGCAACCTAGATAGCTTGCTGCAGATAATGGCTAGACATCCGAGGTTGAGATATGGCCAGTTGGAGTAAGAGGGAAGGGAAAAAAGGAGACCCACACCACCATATCAATTATCTGAAGCCAAACCCAGCCAGACAGAAAATATTAATCTGAGTTAACCCTTGCTCCTTCTTCTCTGCTGGTCACTCCTGCACCAGAAGAAGAGGAACCATTCTCTGCCAGAAATGAGTAAATGTGAGACATTGTTCACTCGCTGCGGTTTCTGAGAAAGTCAGCGGATGCAAAAAAAACCTATCAAAGAAAAATCCCTTTTAACAGGTGTTAAGGCTGGCGAAATCACCTGAGACAGACTACGCTGAAGTTTCCTCTACTTTGGGGGGTCAGCTAAAAATAAAGTAAAATTAAAGATAGTCAGGATCACTGCTAAAAAAAATAAAAATGAGAACGAATCCTTAAGCGAGACTCCTGCAATCTGCCCCAAAACCTGGCCTTCGGAGCAGGGGCCGCCAACCTTTTGGACCTCAGGGACCACCAAACTCAGAATTTTAAATGCCACGGACCACTCATATGAATTTTTGACTGATGGTGGCTTGTTGACGTTGGTTGGAAAGTTGGTCCCATATCCCAGAGCTGCAAGAGTCACAGGACTGGCTCTTTGGTCATCCTGGAGCAGCTGTTCCACCTGGGTGTACCGGCCTGCCATGGATGGGAGGAGCTGCTCCGGGATGACCAAAGTCCTGTGACTCCTGTAGCTCTGGAATAGGGGACCGACTTCTCCACCGACGTCAGCAAGCCACCCTGGGGCAGATTTCCCTCCCCTGCTGTTGGTCTTACCTTCCAGTTCCAGCTTGCGTGGCTCTACTCAAGGTAAGGTTTGTGCTCGGCTGAAGGGTGGGAGCCAATGGGTGGGTGAGCCATGTGGGTGGCGCAGCCTTGTGTTCCCGCACAGCCTGGATTAATTGCTGGGTGGGGTGGGGGGGACATTTCTCTGTGGACCACCAAAATTTTCTCGCAGTCCACCAGTGCTCCCCGGCCCACCAGTTGGCAACCACCGCTTTGTAGAATTATTATTATTTTTTAAAGACAATTTTCTTGCAGCTTGTCTCTAGAAGGCGGGTCTGCCAAGGATGCTTAAAAGCTCCAGAAGGGAGGAAGAAGGGAAGTCCTTCACCCTGGTTTGCTCTTTTTTTTAAATGCATAAAACAGAGTCTTGCTTCCCCCACCCGCCACCCCATCCCGGGTTCCTCACTCGGGCTTAACACTGACCTGTAACCGACTTTGCGGGAGTAATGCAGGCAGTTCTCTTTGACGTGGGTTTGGAAGTAGGCGGACCGGCAAATGGCCCCGCACTCAGGGCAGCAATAGGGAGATTTATGGGCGTGGATTCTCTGATGAGCACAATAACTGCATTTGTTCGGCAACACCATCTGACACACTTGGCATGTCTAGGAGAGAGGAAATAGAGAGGCACCTTTGATGGACTGTTTCTGATGGACTGCTCGGCTGGGGAATTCTGGGAGTCCACACCAGCTTCAAGGGGCCAAGTTGGAGATACTGTCCTGGAGGGAGACTCCGTGCCTTAATTGCAGGCATTCCTGTAAGGATGGTAGCTCCAAGAGACGAAGAGTATTTTGTCGTTCGGGGTTGAAGTGAGGGATCTCCTTGGTGCTCCCTGAGGCTTGTTGGTTTTTCTTGCAGACGTTTCACGACCAAACTAGGGAACGTCATCAGTGCTGGACTGAAAACGTCTGCAACAGGGGTGTCAAACTGAAGGCCCGGGGCCCAGATCTGGAAACAGCAAAGGACCAGCCCATGGGGCCTCTGCTGGTGGAAATGGAGCTCGTGGCCCTCCCCAGCTCCATTTTCACTGGCAGAATGTTACAGGATGCTGTCCCGGCTGTTTTTGCTCGTAGAGGGTTGCAGGAGGCCATTGCAGCCCAAAATGGAGCCCAGGTCGAGCACAACCCTGATGCAGCCCTCAATGAAATTGAGTTTGACCCCACTGGTCTACCAGAAAGCAGCCAAGCTCAGAGAACCTCTGAGGACCCCCCTCAGAATGGTAGCTATCCCCCAGCAGGCTGGCTGGTGGAGTTGCGATCTTCAGACTTCTACTATGAAGATGCTATGAAGATACTATGAGATGCTTGAAAAGGCTTCCTTGTTTGACCAAGAGGAAAAACGACGACAAAAGATAACAGTGCCCCAAATCCTGCCGCTGCCTGTTGATAGATAAGCAGATAGTCTTATCTGGGGCAGATAAGACTCAGAAATCAAACTTCTGACTGCCCAGCTCAGTGAGGTAGATGAGAACTCCAATTTATTCGTCTTCCCTCCTCGGAACAAATGCCAAAGCTGCCTGTGTATTAATGCCTCTCGAGAGCAAAGACACTTCTTCTCTGCCACTCTCGATTTCTGGGGTGAGAAAAAAGCCTATCGGTTTAATCAGGTATTTAATTTTAACCTTGACAGGGGAAGGCATGACAATGACAGCCCAAATACAAAGCCATCCTGCCAGCCGGGAGTTTAACGGCAGAATACTCAGCCAGAGAGAATTATCTGCTGAAATTACCCTTTCACTGACGTTGTAAATTCATATTTCGATTGACTGCCTGCCTGCCTGCCTGCCTAAACAATCTGCAAAGTAAGGGTGTAGTTATGTAATGTCTATTTAGCCTGTGGAACATTAAAAACATTTTTGGGGGAGGAAAGAGAAAAATCAACCTAACCCTCCAATCCCGAGTTCTGCAATACTTTCCAAAACATACCTAGCACCATTCTATTTTCTTTTTGCTACCGTATCACTGGTTTTCTTTTTAAAATCCCAGAACATTCAATTCTTCCTTGTACTTTGCTGCAATAATCTTATGATTATTTATGTGTTTCAGATCCTTTGCTCACCAAAGCTGGCTGATAAATGTAGGATCAACACCCACCCCTCTAAATAAAGGTTGCATAGAACATTTCCCTAGACAAAATAGCAACAAGCTTGGTTAAAACCCAACAAGAAACGTGGCTTGGTTAAAACCCAACAAGAAACGTTCCTTAAAGCCAGTTCAAAATGTGTGGCTTCTTTAGCTCTGTTTCTGCTTTTTTTTTTCCTTTTGTGATGCTTCTAGCAGATTGTTCAAATTTATGGCTTTATTTTGCCCCTTTGTGTTTATTTTTTCATTGTAAATTTTATTGCAAACTCCCCTGACAGCTGCTATTAAAAAGGCAGCACATACACTGTTGTGTAGTATGGATTAAGTCATTTGCATGCAGCACCCGCTTCCCTTCCTACCCCATTCATTTTCTAAGTTTCAGAAATAAACACAGCTTTCCAAATTGCACGAAGGAGGCTCATAAGCATTTCTACCCCAGGTCGTCTTCAAGGGGAACCTGGCAGAGATCTTCTGATTGGCAAGACCTGTTCGCTGCATGTTCCTGGGGTCATTGTATTTTTTTTTTTTTTTGGTCAAAATGCAAAGGACGTAAGACTCCTTACTCCGTACACAAACAATCACGCTGATCCACTGAGAGGCACCAGTGGTGGGACTCAAATAATTTAAACAACTGGTTCTCTGCCCTAATGATTTCTTCCAACAACCAGTTCACCAAACTGCTCCGAAGGTTAACAACCGGTTCTCTCAAAGTGCCGCTAACCGGCTGAATCCCACCACTGAGTGGCACCCGTCTCTACCCGACACAGTACAGGCAGTCCTTGACTTATTGAGCCCCGATTTCCTGCTGCTAAGGGAGACATCTGTTAAAGTTAGTTTTGCCCCATTTTGCGAGCTTTCTTGCCATGGTTGTTAAGTGAATAGCTGCAATTGTTAAGTCAGTAACATCTTTGTTCAATGAATCTGCTTTCCCCAACCCAGGCAAGTCGCAAAAGGGGACCACGTACAGGGGTGGGAATTCAAAATGTTAAACAACCGGTTCTGAGGGCGTGGCTTGGTTGGTGGGTGTGGCTTGGTGGTCATGTGACCGGGTGGACATGGCTTGGTGGTCATGTTATTGGCTGGGTGTGGCCAACTCAATATCACTCACGTCGAGGCACGCATCTCCTCGCCTGGCCTCTCATGACTGTGGGGATGCTGCAACAGTCGTAAATGTGAAAAAGGGTCATAAGTCACTTTTTTCAGTGCCATTGTAACTTTGAATGGTCACTCCACACAAGCAAAGTACCAGCAAAGGAGGGGGGAAAAAAACTCCAGAGAGGTTCCTGAGACAGGAAATTTAGTCCTGCCAAGAATGTAATAAGGGTTAATGGAGAGGCAGTTTCTGTAAGCAACACCAGAATGTTTCCTTCCTGCCTTTCTTACAGGATTAGGCCAGTAATTTCTTCTAACAACTGGTTCTCCAAACTGCTTAGAATGTTAGCAATCGGTTCTACCGAATAGGTGCAAACTGGTAGAATCCCACCCCGATCATGTAACACTGAAACTGTGATCATTGTGAGTTGATTGTTAAGCATCCGAATGTAAGTCATGTGACCATAGGGTCATAAGTGTGGGAACAATGGTCCTAAGTCAACTTTTCCCAGTGCCATTGTAACTTTGAACGCTCGCTGAACAAAACGGTTGCAAGTCAAAGGCTGCGTGTAAAGCAACACCGTTGAAAAGTTGCCTTTGCACCAATGGAAGGGTCATCCATGAACGCTCCCGCTCCCAATCCTTCCCTAGATGAGATATTAAAAGCCTTTTAGAGATCAGCAAGCAGAGGCAGAGAGAAGAGGAGGAAAACAAACAAAGAAACCAAAACGTGGGAGTGAAGCCGCTTTCAAGGCTGCAGCTTCTAAGGATCTGGAGAGCTGGAACGTGGAGCTTCCCAGATGTAGAAGCTTCGAGGGAGGGAGAAAGACAAAAAACAGATGTTCAGCCACTCCTGAGCATATCACTGGGAGCTCCATTTCAACATGCCCGTCTGCGTTTTCCATAGAGATGCAATAAAGGGCAGGCCTGGGGAACGAACCGTCTTTATTTTTTAACTGTTCTCTTAACCATTTAAATCAGGGGTTCCCCAAACTCGGCAACTTTAAACCTTGTGGACTTCAACTCCCAGAATTCCCCAGCTAGCAGAAATCCACAAGTTTTAAAGTTGCCATGTTTGGAGATGCCCTGGCTTAGCACAATGTATGAACCAGGTTACACTGTGGGTTGTTTTACTGAGAATTGTTTTTTTTCTTTCCAGATCACAATTTCCTCCCAAATACTACTGGTGGTTTTTTTGAGACGGTACCAGGTAAAATTCAAATATCAAAGGCTTTTGGTGATCTGACCGCAGTTAACATTTGGGGGGGCTGGGTAGATGACGACCTGGGAAATAATGCAAGTGGCCAGATGGGAATTATTCACGTGGTCTGAACTCCATCTGAAGGTGATGGGGGTAGAAACTGCGTGCTTGGTTTGTTGGTTTAATGCAAGGGTCTTGAAACTTGGCAAGTTTAAGACATGTGGACTTCAGCTCCCAGAATTCCTGAGCTAACATGACCAGAGGAGGAATTCTGGGAGTTGGGTGTCCACAAGTCTTAAAGCTGTCAAGTTGAAGAGGCCTGGTGTAGGGTATCTGACTTGGGCAGGGGGGTTGGACTAGAACAGGGGTCTCCAACCTTGGCAACTTTAAGACATGTGGACTTCAACTCCCAGAATTCCTGAGCTAACATAGCTGGAGGAGGAATTCTGGGAGCTGGATGTCCACAAGTCTTAAAGCTGCCAAGTTGAAGACACCTGGTGTGGTATCAATCTTGGTGCTTGCTGATCTCCAAACAAGGAAGTGTTTTGGTCTTTTTGTTTCCTTTTTAGCTTTTTGGTTTGTCTCTTTTGAACCATCAGTGCCTCTCTTTTGGAAGCTCTATAATACAAACAGAAAGCAAGCCTAACATTGAAGATGTTACCTAGTTGTGTAATAAAACGTCTGCAAGAAAACATTCATGCTCAGAGAACACCAGGAACCCAACAGTTCAAGTCTAAGCTACCGATATTCTCTTTTATTTGGCACTACTTGGACCAAGAGTCTTCAAACTTGACAGCTTTAAGACTTGTGGACTTCAACTCCCAGAATTCCTGAACTAACAAGACCTGGAGGAGGAATTCCACAAGTTGAAGTCCACAAGTCTTAAAGTTGCCAAGTTTGGGGACCTGTGATTTAAATGAAGATCTATGAAGACCCCTCAAATCTTAAACAAACAAACAAACAATTCATAGACCAATGTACTGATTCAATACACAGGTATCCCAACCAAATATGCCGGAAACATTTTAAGCAGCTTTGGGTCCATAAGGAGAGCGCTCCCTTCTCGGTGTCTTACAGGTAGTCCTCGACTTACAACCGTAATGGAGGGGCCCTCCCTCCAATTTCTGTTGCTAAGCGAGGTGTCTGTTTAAGCTAAAGTTTTTGCCCTCGTTTTACGACTTTTTCTTCCCACGGCTGTTAAGCGAATCGCTGCAGTTCTCAAGGGAGTAACCTGGTTGTTAAGTGGATCTTGGCTTTCCCCCCGTTGACTCTGCTCGTCAGAAGGTCGCAAAAGGGGGATCACAAAAGGCCCCAAAAGACACTACCACTGTCATAAATATGAACCAGTTGCCAAGCCTTTGAATTTGGATCACGTGACCGTGGGGGATGCTGGAAAGGTCCTCGCTGAAAACCGGTCGTAAGTCGCATTTTTCAGTGCCGGCGTAACTTCGAGCGGCCACTAAACAAACTGTTGTAAGTCGAGGACTACCCGTACGGCTGCAATGGAAATCTCCAGCCTTGTGATCTCCCCTGCCTATTATTATTTGCAGGATCTGCATTGCTCGCTGACACCCACTTGGCTCGAAGGCCGGGATGGCGAACCTATGACACACGTGCCACAGGCGGCACGCAGAGCCATTTGTGCCACCCCGTGAGCTGCAGGCAAAGTTACCTCACGGTGCAAGCGCGTGCCGGTTTGAGGCCTTTTGGGGCCTCCCAAAGGCTTGAGGAAGGCTTCTGCAGGCCGAAAACTAGCCCTGTTTCATCACTTTTTCAAAAAACACTGGAAGTGACGAAACGGGCCTAGTTTTTGGCCTGCAAAGTCTGCAGAAGCCTTCCTCAAGCCTCTGGGAGGCCAAAAGAGGCCTCAAACTAGCCGAAAATCACCTGTGAGGTGCGGTACAAGTAAGGGGGTGGCGTGGGTGGGTGGGGATTGTTTGCACATGCATGGGGACCATGGGGGGGGGCGCACATTGCCTTCTGGGTGCTGGCCCGCAAGCGGAAGCATGCAAGCACTCGCACCATTTTTGGCCCAGGAGCCCCAAAAGCTTAGCCACCACTGCTCTAAAGCTTATTTTGTCTTCCTCTCGTTTTAATCTCATTTGCACCAGTTTCTGAAGACTCACAGACACGGGGCGCTCGCCTCTTCCCCTAAACAGAAGCTGATTAGCCTCAGCGAGGCCACAATTATAACACTGTCTTCCCAGAAGCCTACGCAGATTGGAAGGAGAAAAAAAAGAAGAAGAAAAAGGAGCTGCATGCGAGGCCCCACACGGCTAATCGAAGGCCGCCTTCTACAAAAGAGGTTGAAACTTTCATGGTACAACAAACGGGAGGAGGAAAACGGCAGCACGGAACAGGAAATTGGTCAAAACCATCGGAACCGCTACCTGAAGGTTTGGCTGAACAGGAAGCAGCAAATGCAAAGGGGCCAACTCGCAACCACCGTACAACTGACAGCTGGAGGGAGGGAGGGCTGCTGGTTTATGTCGGCTGTAGCTCTTAGCTAGGAGAGCTGTCTGTTTTTTTCACATGTGCATCGGAGCTCTGACACCTTCCGCGGTTGGTTAAGACGACTAGCTCTGGCAGTGGTGGCTAACTCACATGCCAGTACCCAGAAGGCAATGTGCACGGGGACCCCTGCTCCCTGCGCATGCATGCACAACCCCTCCCGCGCACGCTGCACGCCTCCTACGACCCCCTTGCCCCTGCGTGCCAGAGACCCGACAATCATCTGTTGGGCGGGCGGTGCGCACACATGCACAGTAGACCTGCTCTGGGCGAGGGCTCACATGCCACTTCCAGTATGCACGCCATAGGTTCAGGGGTGGGATTCAAATTTTTTAACAACCGGTTCTGTGGGCGTGGCTTAGGGGGTGGGCGTGGCTTGGTGGTCATGTGACTGGATGGTCATGGCTTGGTAGTCATGTGACTGGCTGGGCGTGGCCAACTCAACATCACTCACATCGAGGCACGCATCTCCTCGCCTGGCCTCTCATGACTGTGGGGATGCTGCAACAGTCGTAAGTGTGAAAAAGGGTCATAAGTCACTTTTTTCAGTGCCATTGTAACTTTAAATGTTCACTCCGCACAAGCAAAGTACCAGCAAAGGAAGGAAAAAAACTCCAGAGAAGTTCCTGAGACAGGAAGTCTAGTCCTGCCAAGAATGTAATAAGGTTTAATGAAGAGGCAGTTTCTGTAAGCAACACCAGAATGTTTCCTTCCTGCCTTTCTTACAGGATTAGGCCAGTAATTTCTTCTAACAACCGGTTCTCCGAAGTGCTTAGAATGTTAGCAACCGGTTCTAGCGAATAGGTGCGAACTGGTGGAATCCCACCCCTGCATAGGTTCGCCATCATGGATCTATGGATTGTGCTAAATGACTTTGTCCTTTTTCTCTCTCCCAAATATAAATGGAGAACAGAAATGAACTCTGAAAAGCTTCCACATGAAACGCAACTGGCATAGGAGGGACTGCAGAGCTGATACTTTCTAGAACAAATGGAGTCACATCATGAACAGCTGCACTAAATAGCATTCAACCCAAATTCAGATCCATAGGTACACTAGATCATACCTGGAAATTCATCTACTTTATTGAAAAGTGCGCATCTCTTTTTTTTTTTTACCCTTCCCAGCTTAATGTAGATAGTCCTCGACTTACAACAGTTTGTTTAGTGACTGTTCAAAGTTACAACAGCACTGAAAAAAGGTGACTTTATGATCACTGTTCACACATCCCCGTGGTTATGTGATCAGAATTCGGATGGTTAGCAAAGGGTTCAAATGTATGACAATTGCAGTGTCCCGGGCTCATGTGATAATCTTTTGCGACCTTCTGGCAAGTATTACAGACTAATTCTGCCCACTGCCAAGAGTTCGAATTTGACTGGCTCAAGGTTGACTCAGCCTTCCTCCCTCCCTCCCAACTTAGAAATAGACTTATATACTACTTCATAGTGCTTTATCATACTCTCGGGGCAGTTTACAAGAGTCAGCCTCTTGCCCCCAGCAATCTGGGTCCTCATTTTACCGACCTCAGAAGGATGGAAGGCTGAGTCAACCTTGAGTTGATCAGAATCGAACTGCCGAACTGCTGGCAGTCGGCAGTCAGTAGAAGTAGCTTGCAGTACTGCATTCTAACCACTGTGCCACCACAGCTCTTGCCACAAGGTCGTAAAATGGAGCAAAATCCACGTAACAAATGTCTCAGCAACTGAAATGTTGGGCTCAGTTGTGGTCGCAAGTCGAGGACCCCTTGCGTGGGCTGGAGGTCTTTTCCCAGTGATTAAGAAGCCAAATGGGAAGGAATTAACTCAAGAGGCCCAAAACGTGACTTACCAGGCCCTCGTTGTCTTCTGATGTCCTCTGATAATGGGCTGCTAGGGCGATATAGTCCAAGGCCTGCTTATTACATTCAAAACACTTTAATCCATAGCGAATGAGTCTCAAGGGGTCTGTGTAGAGAGGCAGGGCCGGCTGGGTAACGCTCGTGCTGCCCGCCCCGCTTCCTGGGGCCACGCAGGGCTTCTGGGGCAAGGAGGAGAGCCGTGCGGCGGGTGGGCTCGACGAGACCGACGAGCTGGTGGGGGACGGCGAGAACATTTGGTCTACATTAATGGGCTTCATGAAGAGCTGCGAACACTGCATGATGAAGCCTTTGCTCTTGTGATCCCGCGCGTGTTTGAGCAAATTGCACTTGTTGAAGAACAGCAGCGTGGCTGAACACTGAGTGCACAAGACTTCGATGTGCACGCTCCTCCGGCTGTAATGTTGCGTCAGGCTTTTTTCTAAGGCAAACGAATCCCCACATTCCAGGCAGCCGTAGCCGGCGGCGGGAACGTGAATACTGCTCTCGAGGGGAGGGCTGAGGTTGGGCGTGTAGATTGGCACTGGGTTGGCACCATGCAACACTTTGTTGAACGCCTCCACCACGAGGGGGGAGGACTTCTTGACCTGCTGCACGAGCGGCACGGTCACCGGGGCCAGTTGGGGCTGGCTGCGCCGCTGGACGGAGGACCTGGCCGCCACGGATGCGGCAACGCTGTGGGGCACCAGGTTGAGATTGGCCAGGTGCACGGCCTTGGGGAGGAGGCTGGCGGGGTTGCAGAGCTGGGCCGCGGTGCCTGGCTGCTGCTTTTTGCTCAACGGCTGTCCCGCGAGGCCTCCTTTCGTCGTCTCGCTGTTGGCCAAGTGCGATGCACCGAGTGAGACGCCGCTTAAGGGAATGTCTGAAATCGAAGGGTTGATTTGGGGGCTGGCTAAATTTGGTTCCAGGGTGGTTGCTGTTGCGAAATCCTTGCCTGGCTCGGCTTCCAGGGAAGAGGCTGCTTCTGGAGAAGGGAAGGATTCGACCATCGAGCCGTCTGCGGGCGAATCGTAAGGGGATTTACCCAGGTCGCCTGCTTCGGGCAAGATTCTCGTGACCATCCTTTTAATTTCACCTGAAGAGGTTTTGATGGTCTTGATCCGGACTTTGGGAATGGCTGGCGGGGAGCCAGTGGCCACCGAAGGAGAACCTTTGCCGCTGCTGTCGCTGCACACACTCCGGGGAGAGTCGGGCTGCCTGCTGACCTTCCTCACTATTTCCAGGGGGCTTCTGGGGCTCTTGGGCGATTTGGGCATTTTGGGGCTCCCCTTAATGCCATCCTTAAAGGAGGCGGGAGGCTCCCTGGTCACGTTCACCTGATCCTCCTTGGAGATACCCGCCACCTTTTTGGCCTGGAGGGCTACCAGGGCAGCCACGCAAGAGGACAGCTTGGAGTGAGTGGGCTTGAGACGCTGGCGAGGTGGGACTGAGGAAGAGAAGGTCATCTCGGGCACAGGACCTTTACCTTCCTCCAGGTTATTGCCCTGGAAGTTGCCAAGAGGAAGCCCTTCACCGAAGGAACCGTGGGTGTCCGCGAGATCTTTGCCAGCCCCGTCACACTTCTCTGGACTCTTGTCAAGCTCTCTCTTGGTGGTGACGTCGGCCCTGTTCTCCTGAAGGCCGTGGATGTCGATCTTCGGCTCTCTTTTACAATATTGATCAAACATACTGAGCTCCGGTTCGGGCAGTTTCTTACTTAAGAGATCTAGCAGCGATGGGCCAGTGGATATAAACCGACTGAATTCCGTCTCCGGCATAGTCCTACTGAGCAAATCTAAGACGGACGATCCCGATGGAATATACATGGGATGGGGTGGGAAATAAGGAGTCTGGGCAAGTTTAGGTTTGTCTACTATACTGTTTTCTTTAAGGACATCGTCCGGCTCCGGGCTGGAGATGGGACTGAACTGACTAAAAGTTGGTAAAGGCTCTGATTTGGCTGGTTCCAACTTCTCTGGGTAGTTCCTCAAGCCGTCCCCATTGACGAACGCCGAATCGAACTTCCGATAGCTGTGAGTCTCTAGTGGAAGATCCGAGCCACGGAATCCGTTGTGCAACAGGCCCGGTGCGAGGTGGTTGCCATCCTTTTCTGTCTCGAAGGATTCCTGGCGACAGGTGTTTTTCACAATGACGCTCACGACGGGAACGTCAGAGGCCGGAGGGGCGGCATGGGACAAAGCAGTGTTCTCGTCTATGCCGATGCCGGTCTGCTTGAGGTGGTTGTCATTCTCCTCGCCAGCTGTTTGGATGCCTTCCTTGGCGTCAAGGCTGGTTGGGTCAGGAATGTCAAAAGCAGCCAACAGGTCGTCGAAGTCGGGAGTTTTCATGTCCCCCATGATGAAAGCTGCAAAAAGAAAAGAAAAAGAAAAGGCCGTCAGAAGCAACACTGCAAATGTGCATTTCCTTCAAATACATGTAGTTGTCAGCGTTCCAGCAAACCTCCATTCCAGCCAATAATTCCGAGACAGACATCTCTCAAAATTGGGATAGTGACTGGCACATCTGTGGAATCCTGAATCTGAAAAGTTCCAGGCTTCCTTGCAATAAGTAAAAACTACAAATCCATCCCCTATACCCATCACCACATCACATGGCCCAATCACTATCCGCCCCAAAGTAAGACTTCCTTTTCACTATGTGCAACACTACCTGACCTTGAATCAGCAAAAGAGTTTTATGTTGTCTAACTAGATATACTCCCCCTTTCCCAGGCTCAATTGTGGCAGCGTGGGAGCATCGGATCTCAATATGGCTTCCAAAGCTTGACTTACAACCATTCCTTAAGTTTGAAGTTACAACAGCACTAAAAAAGAGTGATTTAGGACCATTTTTCACACTTACAACCGCTGTGGCATCCTTGTGGTCGTGTGATCAAAATTTGGACTCGCTGATTACTGGCTCATATTAAGAATGTTTATAAATGAGTTTATAAAGTGTCCTGGGATCATGTTAAGACCTTCTGCTAAGCAAAGTCAATGGGGAAGCCAGATTAACTTAATCGCCATGTTACTATCTTAACAAAGTGCGGTGTTTTTGTTTCATAACTACGGCAAGGAAATGCGTAAAAGCAAAACTCATTTAACTCACTCACTTAACAACTGTGGCTTAACAACAGGAATTGGGGGCTCAATTGTGATTATTAAGTTGAGATTAAGTTAAGTTGTGATTATTGAGGACTGCCTGTGTAGCATCTTAGGCTCCACACACCCATTTGCACTATTCAGGTGACCTTGAGGGCACAGATAAACTTTGAATGACTCTCAGAGAGAGCACTAACGACCAGAGGACTGCAAGGAATATAAATCGTTCCATCCTCTACTGTTCAGTCAGAACTGAAGAAGCTTCTTGGATGAGAAGCGAAACCTCTTCAAGGAAAAACAAAGTCCAGTTGCCTTTTGACAAAGCACTGGTACTATAGCACTTTGAAAGGGACCCAGGCAGATGCAAATTCTAGGGAGTCAAGAGAACTTCGCTATCAGCTCTCGTATATAAGCAAAAATGTTCTCTACCTGATATGCCGGTTTTCAGTCCCTGTAACTGCTAGGTGGCAGGGCTATTTGCATCGAAGTCCTTGTTTAGAATTGCTCCCACACTTCAAATTGTTTACAGGGAAACTGACTGCCTATCTTGTAACTGGGAAATGAAGATGATAAAATACCAACTGTTGACTACTCCCCTATATCCTGCAGGGCTATAATGTACTTTTATTTGTTGTCTTGGTTTAGCAGGCACATTAAAATCTGCTTCATTTTGAAGTACCAGATTCCAGCCTACTAAAGCTCGAACTCGGCCACAATAAAAATTGTTTTATTCGGCAGTGTTTTTCAAAGCTAGACAGCTTTTAAGACAGGTGGGCTTCAACTCCCCAGAATTCCCCAGCCAGCAGGAGGCATTCGAAGAAGGGTGTCCAGCCATGGCAACTTTGAGACCCGTGGACATTTAAGACCTGTGGAATTCTGGGAGTTGAAGTCCACAAGTCTTAGTTGCCAAGGTAGGTCAGCCTTGCACTAGAAGATGCTGTGCTTGTTCCAGTAAGCCTCTTGCCTATTTAAACCTCTTCTCTGCCCCATCAAGGGAAAAGAGGCGCCCATATTTCTTTTCTATACTGAAGGTGATACAACAGGAGAAGGGGGTTTATGACCATTTGCCACGGCGAACGGGCTTCAGGACAAGAGTTACACTAACATCAAAGAAATGGTGGAATAGAATCATTAAAAGAAAGGATGCCAAAGGAGGGACAGAATGAAACGCGAATGGCAAGTTAAAATAATTTTTATTTATTTTAAACAATTCATTAGAATTGTTAAAATTGTCCTGCAGGGACTAGTCCCATGGCGAGTAGGCTGTGGGCACTTATCCAGCGGCGAGTTGGCCGCAGCGACTTGGCCATGGTGAGTTGTCCCTGTCAACTCATAAAACACTCCTATCCCTGTGTTTAGTAGATGCCATAAAAAAATGGGTGGGGGTGGGGGAAGCAAAAAGTACATTCCAACTCTTTAAAAGATTGTAACTAAAACACCAGAGTTTTTGCCTGCGAAGCTTGGCTCGAGAATCATGATTTAATTAAGAGCAATTACTGGAATCCTGATAGCTCCATTCGCACAGGAGCAGCACCTGAGAAAGATGGGAAGCAAAGACCGTCGTACGCAGAGGTGGGATTTTACCGGTTTGGCCCGGTTCAGGCGAACTGGTCGTTATGGGGACAATCTGGCCTCGCCCACCCAACCTTTCCCTAGGCTGTCCTTGATTTCCAGGGTTTTCAGCTCAGCTGTTTGGTGCGGCACAGAGAACAGCCGCTCTTTCAGCTGATTTTCTGACTGAAGCAGAAGGTCAGTTTTGGAGCTGGAAAAAGCAGCGGTTTTTTTTCTAATGCTGCGTGCGCACAAAGTGCGGGCTCACTGAACCGGTTGTTATACCGGTTGAATCGCAGCCCTGGCCGTAAGGTGATCTCTTTCCACATTCCCACTCAAGTTCCTGAAGCATCTTGTTCAATGCGGACGTAAACTTGAGTGAGAGATGTGGGCAGCAGAGACCAACACTGGAACTTTAAATAGGAGCCAGCCATGTGCAGCAGCAGCCAAAAAAGCCGAGGCAATCCTAAGTTGTATTAACAGAGGGATACAGTCAGGATCAAGGGAGGTACTAATGCCACTCTATAAAGCCTTAGTAAGGCCACACCTAGAGTCCTGCATCCAGTTTTGGTCACCACACTATAAAAAAGATGTTGAGTCTCTAGAAAAAGTGCAGAGAAGAGCAACCAGGAGAATGAGGGGACTGGAGGCTAAAACATACAATGAATGGTTACAGGAACTGGGCCTGGCTAGTCTAAGGAAGAGAAGGACCAGGGGAGACAGGATAGCAGTTTTCCAATATTTGAGGGGCTGCCACAGAGAGGATGAAGGGGTCAAGCTATTTTCTAAAGCACCAGATGAGGAATAATGGCTGGAAACTGATTTAACCTGGAAATAAGGAGAAACGTTCTGACAGGGAGAACCATCAACCCATGGAATAGAAGTTGCCTTCGGAAGTTGTGGGAGCGTCATCACTTGAGCCCTTCAAGAAGAGACTGGACTGCCATCTGTCAGAAATGGTGTAGGGTCTCCCGCTTGGGCAGGGGGGGGGATGGACTAGATGACCTACAAGGTCCCTTCCAACTCTGATTATCTGTTATCTGTTTTCCCATGGAAGGGCAGACTGCTGCATTTTGTAGGTAGCCCTCGACTTACAACTATTTGTTTCGTGACCATTCGAAGTTATAACGGCATTCAAAAAAGTGACTGACGACTGTTATTCACACTTACGATCGTTGCAGCATCCTCACAATCTCGTGATCGAAATTCAGCCGCTTGGCAACGGACTCCTATTTATGACGGTTGCAGTGTCCTGGGGTCATGTGATTCCCCTTTGGTGGCCCCCTGACCAGCAAAGTCAACGGAGGAAGCCAGATTCGCTTAAGAACTACCACGATTCACTTAACAACCGGGTCAAGAAGAGTCATATAATAGGGGCAAAAGTCACTTCCATCATGGAAAGGGGAACTGAAGTACAAGCAGTTCTCGACTTACGGCCACAATTGAGCCCCAAATTTCCGCTGTTAAGAGAGACAGTTGTAGTACTTCAGCTCCGCTTCCCATTATATCAGACACCTTCTAGTTTCATTTCCCCCCCCCCCCCCCCCGTTTCCTGTCATTATCCCGCAAGGCTTTTCTGCTGTCCTTTTTTTTTTTTTTTTGCTGCTGCTGGTGCCATCGGCAACTTTTTCGTTGCCCGGTTTGGGCCAAAGCGAAGGAGTGAAGGAACTGAAGTGTGCGTTGTATACACCGACTTCTGGCAGTTGGGCCCAAGCCACGAAGGAAGCCCAGGACTGTGAAACAATGAGGACACTTGATCTTCCCCGGGTTTGCATGCACAGGGGGAAAAAAACAAAACAAGTCAAAAATCTTCCAGCCCTGGATGGTACAGTACAAAGGTCTTGGAAGAGCCAGCCAGCCAGCCACTGTGACCTTCCTTCCGGAACGGTCAACGCTGACCACACAGGAACAAGGAAGTCTTCCATTTTCTTGCTGCAAACTCATGAACCGCTTGGGATGGCATGCTTAAGGTTTCACTTCATGCCAGGCCGTCACTAAATGAATGAATGGGTTGGATTTTAAAAAATTAAAAAGAAAAAAGAAACAGGGAGGGAGGGAGGGAGGGAGGGAATGAGTCCTCAGCATTCTGCCTAATGGAGAGAGAGCGAGAGAGAGCTTTAAACTTTCGCTTGTTTTGAAATTTTCATTATCCCCGCTAACCCAGCAGGTGATATCTCCTGGAGGCCCAAGGAAGACCTTTTCCCCAATGCTAATGGGTGAGAAGGGAAGACTTAAACCTGAGCACCCTGCAGGACATGGTGCCAGGGATTTAAAGCTCCCGTCCTTCTCTGTCTCATATTTCATTTACTGTAAAAATAATAATAATAAGCCCTGCGATTGCTAACCTCGTACATATCAATGTAATGCAGCTTTTATGCTCTCTCTCTCTCTCTCTCTCTCTCCTTTCTCTCTCTCCCTCTCCCCTCTCTCTCCTTAACCCACATCACAGGGTTGTTGTTGTGGGAGGGGAAATTGGAGGAGAAACGTGTGTTGGATATGTTCGCCACCTTGAAGTTTATTTGCAAAAATAATAAAGGCAGGATACGAATAAATAAAGAGTCCAAGTCCACTCCAAACTTAATCATTTTGATTTTATGGATCCCACTGCTGTATCCCAGAACAAGCACATCTACAACGGGGCTCTAAGCCCACTCCTGTACTCCTGTATATTCTCCCATGTTTCCAAAATTCTGATATTGAGGAGG